ACTTTCTTCGGAATGGAAACTTAAAGAATTGTTTTGGTTCCAATTTTGCCACTACACATGTTCCGCAACAGATCAGGGGAGCCAACCTTCTTTTTTTTCACTATTTTCACTTCTTTCATTAGTTTCATTAGTTTCATTAGTTCCAATTCCTGTATTTCCTGCATTTCCTGCATTAGTTCGTTCCATCTTGCTTAACTGAACACAGCCCTAGGGACGCTTTCCAGCTACGTAAACAAGCGACGCTGTGTAACACAGTGTCCACTAGTATGAGTGAGACACACTGGTCTAGTTTCCACCGAAGCATTAATTCACACCTAATGCGACGTAGAATCAAATTTAAGTCGATGGAAACCTGTCAAATTGCGCTGATTTCGCTTCCGCTTTGATCTATAAGTACTCTACTTCCAATGGAAACGGAACACTAAATTTAATCCGTACCGGAGTGAAACCGAATTGAGGGTTTCGGTGGAAACTAGACCATTGTAAAATGGCCCTTACTGTTAAGTTTTTTCGTGTGTTCCCGGCTTTATAATTGGTCATTTCCTACGTGTTCAGTTGACGAGCTATTATTTTAAGTATTGATTATAGTTTTTATCAACTTTCAATGTTAAGATATGTATATTTATAGTAGTATTAATTTTTACTATATTGGTATTGTATTTTCGGGTAGAGTAGCACGATTTCGTAATTAATCAATTGGTCTCAAGATAAGATTTTTTCTAAACGGAAGCATTACTGCTGCTACTCGGAAGTTGGCTCTGACGTAGTACATTGACCGAAGAAGCGTACGCTTCCATTTTGCTTAGTTATCTAGACGAGAGGAGAACACGTGCTTTGTCGCCGGTTGCGACACGTTTTACTCGTGTAAGAAGTCTTGTGTAAGCAACTTCTCTGATAAATATTATCTTTGCTTTATTATTTGCTGTTCTTTTCCTTTCTACTTCGGGAATAGCAAAGGAGGTTAAAATATGAATGCTGAAAAACTAAAGAAGCTTCAAGCTCAAGTCAGAATCGGTGGCAAGGGTACTCCTCGGCGTAAGAAGAAGGTAAATTGCTTCACTAACGTAGAAATCTAGCTTGTCTTTTTTATGTCCTTGTAATTTTCAAGTGACAATAGATTGTTACATACGTCGATACTCAGTCTATTCCAAATTGATATCATGTTCATAACTTTGTGATTTCTATGTTTTTCAAGATAAATGTGCAAAATAATATTATCAAACTTCTGTTGTAATTTACTTTGTTATGTACTTCTTAGAAATAAAACTTTGTTTTTAACTATTTTGATAGCTTGTAATCATTTGCCTTCTATTTAACAAAAAAAAACAAATGGTAGTAAAATTGTGCAATTTATTGTTAGAGCAGTTTTAGACTATATAAGCATTAAATATATATGCTAAAATAATATTTATAAATGTTTTAAAAACAATAACTGTTTAGCAATTTAACAGTTAAAATATTGCTTTATACTTACAGTCTATAATAGACTATTTGGTTTAGATCTGTTGTAGACATAAAAGTGCATATCAATCATAGGCAATAAGTCTTAACTATAGAGTCTAATAAATACAGTTAATGTTCAATAAAGTATTAAAAAGTGACTGACACACACATACGTTTACATATAACACAATTAAAACAGAATTGTTTAATATCATTTTGTATTAAGATTTTCAATATTTCTTACTTTTATAGGTTGTACATGCAACTGCTGCCACAGATGATAAAAAGTTACAGAGTTGTCTAAAGAAATTATCTGTGAATACAATTCCTGGGATAGAAGAAGTTAATATGATTAAAGATGATGGTACAGTGATTCACTTTAATAATCCAAAAGCACAGGCTAGTTTGTCTGCTAACACATTTGCAATCACTGGCCATGGGGAAAACAAACAAATAACTGAGATGTTACCTGGTATATTGAGTCAGCTTGGTCCTGAAGGTTTGACACAATTAAAAAGATTAGCAAGTACAGTTGCTGGTAGTGCAGTTGGCAAAGCAACATTAGAAGAAGATGATGAGGTGCCCGACTTAGTGGAGAACTTTGATGAAGCTAGTAAAGAAGAGGTAAAAATAAAATTAATAAATTTTTTAAATAATTGCAAGAAATTCTTGCATAATTTTGCATAATGTTGAAAAAGTCTATTACTATTTTAGCTTTATAAGCAATTTATTTTTTCTTTTTTATAATTCAAAACAAGAATATATATTTTAATTATAGATTTTTATAGAAATATTTTTAGATAAAAATTATAAACCTATGTGTCAAAAAACTATCAAACTACAGAACTATGTAGTTTAGTGATAGATTCTCAAAAAGTCTTATTAAAATTTAAATTCTGATAATTCTAAGATGTAAAAAATGACAAAGCTAAATTCGTTTTTTAAATTATAACAGATACAAAGTTACAAATCAAGATCTCAAATTTTGTATGTTCATGTATAGAAGAACAGCAAGTATTGTAGTAATATTTTTTAATAAACAATATTGTTTTAAAGGTTTTTACTATGGAAATTTAGTTTAACAGCTGATAATGTAATTTATGTATGTGCAATGAATAAAAATGAAAATATGTTGCATTTGCAGAAACAATTGTTAATAAAATTTTCGTTGCTTTTTTACTCTAATTACAATATTTGTCAGAAGAACCCTATTTATTGAACTAATTTGCTATACTTAAATGTGCAAAGTTTTGGATTCATAATCTGTGATTTTGTATCGCTTATACTTTTAAACCTTATAGTCTCATCATTTTTCTATATTTTATTGACCACATTCAGCGGACTCAACACTTGAGATTTCTGCTATCAATAGATCAAACTCTGCTATAAATTTTCTGTTAAATAATCCGCTTGCTGTATCGCTACTTTTAAAAATCATGCTTTCAATGTATAGTTACACAGTGATTGAAAACAAAAGTGAATAAAGTTTAATAATGTTTAACAACAAGTTTTGCTAAAGTTCTGTTATAAAAGAATTCTAAGTAAAATAGAGTTAATGTCATTAATACCATTATTTGCCATAGATGACAGAATATCTATGAATACTTTTGAAAATGTGTGTGTGGTAGAAAATTTAATAGAACTTAATATCTGTTTTAATTTTCTTAAATGCATATACTTTTTCTATTCTTTTTTTCTTCACTAAAAGTTGCCGTAGTAGCTTCCGCTTCTGCAACATGTCAAGATGTAGCAGTTTAGCAAAGCAAAATTCAGTGGAAAATCTAGTAATATTACTCAACTGTTGAGTTTGTTGAATGCAGTTATAATGATTAGAATATTTCCAAGGATTTGTCAAACTACATAGGTACCGATACTTTTGGAGCACCCAAATATCTATATTTTATTAAATTATTATTAATAATTATTAATTATTTATTAATTATTAATCAAGTATTATTATTATTATTAAATATCTTAATATTTTATTTAATTGATAAGAATAAACTTACTTAAAAGAACTATTGATAACTTTGAATATTTATAAATTAAATTTTTTGATAAAATAGATTGATTATAATTTTTCATACACTCTATATTTTGTGTAATATGAATACACAATTGACTTCTTTGTTATAGTGATTAGTGCTTGCAAAGAGATAGGTTTTTAATCTAGTTTCTCTCTCTCTTTCTCTCTCTCTCTCTCTCTCTCTCTCTCTCTCTCTTTCTCTCTCTCTCTCTTCTCTCTCTCTCTCTCCCTCCCCTCTCTCTTTCTCTCTCTCTCCTCTTTCTCTCTTTCTCTCTGTGCGTGTGTGCGCTCGCGTATGTATGTGGTGATAATAAAATGGATCATTATTTTTCATGTTTGTACAGTTGTTTTTTACAATAATCAATTATATTAAATAAGGTAGCATTATTAAATTGTGACCCAGTATTTTGTTAAGTAAAGATTAAATTCTTATAAACTTCTTGATTACTCGTTCCAGTCATATTGTGAATTATAACATTAAAAGAAAGAAATCACGATTTATTTTATAACTTGATTCAAAATAATCTTCTTTATGTGTACTATATACAGTGTTTGAAAAATTTAAACACAGCCAAAATGTGAAAATAGATTGGGTCAATCTGAGCAGAAAAGTCATGTACTAGTTTGCAAAATTTATAATATTATATTTATAATATTTATTGAGTGAATAATTAATACATGTAATCCAATGAACGTGTGGGAAGCGACGGTTCAGACTCTATAGACGTGTATAATTTTCAGTTGTGTAAGAATGTAAAGAAAAATGGCTTACTTTATGCAATCTCCTAACAGGAAGGAGCGGAACAAACAAGCAAGTGGCATGTGGCACAGCTTTTTGCGATCAGCTGATTTTCACAACTGAAAATTATATACGCCTTCGGCTGTATCAAAATTTGTCAGACTCTGTATATACACATATTTAAATCTTAATCAAGTGTTATATGTATAACGTCTAATTTTGCTAAAAATACACATGCGGAGATTGAATTATATTGGCATTATAACTAATGAATAAAGCAGAAGAATATGTTTGACAGATTTTATCAATTTGTTTTCGAATATCAGTAGTGTCATGTAAAAAAAACTTGTTTATTGCGATATAAACCAAAAGTTTATGTAATACTTTGTTTTTGATGTTATATTCAGATGTTTTTGATTTTGTAATTCAGCTGGAATGAGTACTCAGAAGCTTTATTATAATTAGCATATAACTGCGCATTAAACATTAATATAATGTCATGTCAATTAAGAAGTATATTGAATAGATATTACATTTACTTTTATGTTTAACATATGCACACATATGTTTAACATGCTGCAGAAGTTGTGATATATTAATAGAATAATAAATAGATTTGTGCTTTAAACGCGCTCATGCACTTTAAAAATTCTCGATAGTTGAGCGTCAAGTCCAATTTGATATTCCGCATTCAGCAAACTCAATAATTGAAAAATATTACTAAATTTTCTACTGAATAATCTGTTCAATTGGTACATCTTAACATGAAGAAGTAGAAGCTATATCTTATAATGCTTTTTACTTATGCTATCCGAGCGAAAAGTCATTCACCATAGCGACTTTTAGTGAAAAAAAAGAACTCAGAAAAAATTATATGCAAGAAAATTAAAAAAAACGAATATTGAGTTTTATTAAATTTTATATACTAATATTTACAATTATTCATGGATATTCTATCATTTATTGCAAATAATGGTAGTACATAATGATATTTTAACTCCATTTTATCTAGAATTCTTTTATAATAGAACTTTAGCAACTTACAGAGAATGCATAACTGAATTTGATTCATCGGAAGCAAATGTCTTAACTGTTGTGTCCGTTGAATGCTGCTACATATCTAGTTTAAATTCATATCGATCGAATTATTTGTTCAAATATTTTTTGTTATTTTCAAAACTATATAGTTTTAGAAAAAACAAGCTATAAAAAAATGTGAAGCAGATGTGAATTTAAATCACAAACGTATGCTTTTCGTGCATTTACCAAACGCATGCAAGCGTTTTTTTTATATTATGGCAAAACACTATCCGCCTTTAATATAATAAAACAATAAAATATCTATATATAAGTCATTTCTTTTTTCTTATTTCATTATTGCATAGGTTCCAATTAAATGTCGCTTCATATCGAAAGTGTTTACATGGTTTTTTGGAAGTGGAGCAGGAGGAGCAGCAAAGCCCTCCTGCCTACACGTGTACAATACAAACAAAAAGAACATAAAAATAGTAATGTTCAGAAACTTTAAATTGCCATATCTTCGAAATCAAGGCCGTCCTTTACGAAATTTTTTTAGATAATTAGTCAGTATGACCTGCTCTACCACATATCTAAAGCGCACCAAAATTGGTGAAATGTGACCTAAAATAAATATTTACTGAATTTCTAAAAATTAATCTGATATATTCTAGATTTTAATGAAAAAATTTAAAAATCTACTTTTTTCGCTAAATCGGAATCTTTTAAGATTGAGTAATCAAGATAGATTGACATTTGATGTACATTAGCGCCCAAAGCATATGTACTTATAATACTAACTCACAGATTGCCTTTAAGATAAATAAACAAAACTTACACAATTAACAATTTATTATACATTTTCTGATACTGTACATATAATCTATATGTTGTATGTGTGAAAATTTATGTACACAATAAGGCAAAAACAAAACAAATGTAAAAACATTTAAAAGTTAATAAAATAGAACATAGGTTTTGTATAATCGTACTTACTTTAAAACATATAACAAAATATAGATAGTTTATTCATTTATTTTAAGGTTGCTCCAAAAAAGGAACTAGATGATACTGATAAGCCTAATGGTGAGAAGAAGGATGCGATTATTATTGAAGAGAAGAAGGAAGCTCCATTAGCTACACCAGAAGCTTAAAAACAGTGTTGAAGTAAATAAAAAAACTATAATCGATAAGTGCAGTAGCAATTTACTATTTTTTAACTTTAAAACAATAAACTAATTTAACATACTAACATATAATCTAGATTTTTTTTTTCAGATCTTGCATACAGCCATTAGTTGTAAAACCAATTAAGAAAACCATGAGTTGCAAGAGCAACTGCATAAACATGAATATATCTATATATATGTTACATATAATTGACATACGTCCCATGATATTTACTAACATAAGTAACAGTTTGATAACAAATAGAAAAGCTGTTACAGAAATAAAACCAGAATTCTCTAGCGACATGTTTTTATTACTTTGATGCTATCACTAAAAAAATCTTCATTTTAAAGTAGCAGAAGTTTGTTATTGCTTTGGAATGTATATATACTTTAGAACATACATGTAATACTTCAAATACTTGAAATATCGATAATATCAAGATATCAATATTTAACTTGATTGTGTAACGCAAAAAAAGTATATACGAGATTTGTTAATATACAAAGATGCATAGTAAAGTTCTTTTTATTTTTACTTAATAATTATAAGATTCTAAAAACCTTAGAAAAAAGCTAAAAACATGTTGGTATGCATTTGTATCAAGTGGTTTCTTGTATGGATATATAAGAATAGGGGTCGAGAGAGAAAGAGAGGGAGGGTGAGGGAGAGAGAGGGAGGGAGGGAGAGAGAGAGCGTAGTCTTGAGTCAGTGTTTATAATCGGATCTCATATTTAAAATCATCTTAAGAGGGTACTGGATACCGACTATAGAGACCTGTAAACCGACGTTTTTATAATCTAAATTTCTTTATTTTTTAATTTTATTTACTGCACAACATTAAAAGCGCTTCTACAGAAGCAAATAAATATACAAAACTATATAAAGCTTTTGAAAATGGGTATATAATGCTTTTTTGAACTTTTTTTTCATTCATAATGATAGTATATGAGATATACATCATCACACTATGACGTTCTCATCAATTAGATAGTCAAACCATAATCTGAATGTTTCATTAGACTTTTTTTTGTCGTACTTAGTGCGCTAACACAGTGTAAATATGTACATAAACTTACAAGAATTCTACATACATCAATATATGGTGAGGTTATTGAAGGAAACTATATAAGAAAAACTTTTTGTTGAAGTTTGACATTCCAAAGAGCTAGCGCACTGTCTTAGCACAATTTACTTATTTCTAGAGAAGCGTTTTCGATTTGATGCAGTAAATACGACTCAGAACGTGAAAATAGAAACGTCGGTTTACAGCTCTCTATAGTCGGTATCCAGTACCTTCTTAAGTTTATCCTGAAATGCCGTAATAAAACGATAGTACAGCTTCTTATGATAAATTTAAGATAATCTTAAATATAAGATCTGACTGTAAGAAGACCAGTCTATACTACACTTTGAAGCTTCTTGTGTATTCCTTAGATTGCGTGTATCGAAAACATATAGTCGAACTTACCTAAAATGAAATTCCCGGTATTGATAGTCCGAATCTACGCAACATGTAATAAGTCTTAGAACGTTTTGCTCTAATAAACTGTGATATAATTTCTTGTTTAAAGGCGTTTCTCACGCTGCTTTTATAACTTGGCTAATTTGCTTAAAGAGATTACGGGCCGTATTCATAGTCCGTACTTATTTTTAAGATCGTCTTAAGTTTAGTCTTAAGACGCCCTCTAGATTCAGAGTCAAAAATAAGGCGAGACTTGAGCAAACGTCTCAAGGAATATCTTGGTCAAGATGATCTTATTTAGATGCGTCTTAATATGATTCATAAATCCATTTAAGCATGAGATTGAGATTACCTTATTCGTCATAAATTCATAGTCATTGAAGGCCGTCTTATTTCACGCATACACTGACAAATAAGACGATCTTCGCCAAGACATGTCTGAAGACGTCTTAAGCAACAGCTTTTGTTAGAACAGGTATTTAATAAATAAATTTCTGGCATTCTTTTTCTAAAAAAAGTCAACGTCTTGGCAATGGATTTAGAAGATCCAAGAAATTTGGAAATATTAGGAAATTTTTCAAGTGACGAAGAAGAAATAGAAAACATAAGGCGTGTTCCTAAGCGATATTTTCGTGATTATCAAAATCCTTTCGAATTTTACAATGAAATAGAATTTAAAAGAAGATTTCGGTTTTCCAAAAATTCAGTAATGTTTGGC